TCCAGGAATTTATCCATTTCTTCCAGGTTTACTAGTTTATGCGCATAGAGTTGTTTGTAATATTCTCTGATGATGGTTTGAATTTCTGTGGAATCTGTGGTGATTTCCCCTTTATCATTTTTTATTGCATCTATTTGGTTGTTCTCTCTTTTCTTTTTAATCAATCTGGCTAGTGGTCTGTCTATTTTGTTGATCTTTTCAAAAAACCAGCTCTTGGATTTATTGATTTTTTGAAGGGTTTTTCGTGTCTCTATCTCCTTGAGTTCTGCTCTGATCTTAGTTATTTCTTGTCTTCTGCTAGGCTTTGAGGTTTTTTTATTTTGCTCCTCTACTAGCTCTTTCAATTTTGATGATAGGGTGTCAATTTTAGATCTCTCCTTGCTTCTAATGTGGGCATTTATTGCTACATATTTTCCTCCAGAGACTGCTTTAAATGTGTCCCAGATATTCTGGTCTGTGGTATCTTCATTCTCGTTGGCTTCAAAGAACATCATCTTTATTTCTGCCTTCATTTCATTGTTTATCCAGTCAACATTCAAGAGCCAGTTGTTCAGTTTCCATGAAGCTGTGCTGTTCTGAGTTAGTTTCTAAATTCTGAGTTCTAACTTGATTGCACTGTTGTCTGAGAGACTGTTTGTTATGATTTCTGTTCTTTTGCATTTGCTGAGGAGTGATTTACTTCCAATTATGTGGTCAATTTTAGAGTAGGTATGATGTGATTCTGAGAAGAAAGTATATTCTGTGAATATGGGGTGAAGAGTTCTGTAAATGTCTATTAGGTTTGCTTGTTCCAGGTCTGAGTTCAAGTCCTGGATATCCTTGTTAATTTTTCAGTCTGGTTGATCTGTCTTATATTGACAATGGGGTGTTAAAGTCTCCCATTATTATTGTAAGGCAATCTAAGTCTCTTTGCAAGTCATTAAGAACTTGCCTTATGCATCTGGGTGCTCCTGTATTGGGTGCATATATATTTAGGATCATTAGCTTTTCTTGTTGCATTGATCCTTTTACCATTGTGTAATGTCCTTCTTTGTCTCTTTTGATCTTTGTTGGTTTAAAGTCTATTTCATCAGAGATGAGAATTGTAATGCCTGCTTTTATTTGCTCTCCATTTGCTTGGTAAATCTTCCTCCATCCCTTTATTTTGAGCCTTTGTGTATCCTTGCATGTGAGATGGGTTTTCTGGATACAGCACACCAATGGGTTTTGGCTTTTTATCCAATTTGCCATTCTGTGTCTTTGGATTGGGGCATTTAGTCCATTTACATTTAGGGTTAATATTGTTATGTGTGAATTTGATACTGCCATTTTGATGCTAGCTGCCTGTTTTGCCCATCAGTTGATGCAGTTTCTTCATTGTGTTGATGCTCTTTACCATTTGGTATGTTTTTGGAGTGGCTGGTACTGCTTGTTTCTTTCTTCGTGTAGTGCCTCTTTCAGGAGCTCTTGTAAAGCAGGCCTGGTGGTGATGAGATCTCTGAGTACTTGCTTGTTCGCAAAGGATTTTATTATTCCTTCACTTATGAAGCTTAGTTTGGCTGGATATGAAATTCTGGGTTGAAAGTTCTTTTCTTTAAGGATGTTGCATATTGGCCCCCACTCTCTTCTGGCTTGTAGGGTTTCTGCTGAGAGATCTGCTGTGAGTCTGATGGGCTTCCCTATATGGGTAACCCGACTTTCCTCTCTGGCTGTGCTTAGCATTTTCTCCTTAAATTCAACCTTGGTGAATCTGACAATTATGTGCCTTGGAGTTGCTCTTCTTGAGGAACTTGTAGGGTTCCTCTCCTTGTGGGGTTCTCTGTATTTCCTGGACTTGAATATTGGCCTGCCTTGCTAGGTTGGGGAAGTTTTCCTAGATGATATCTTGAAGAAGAATATTTTCCAGCTTGGATTGATTCTCTCTGTCACATTCCAGTACACCTATCAAATGTAGATTAGGTCTTTTCACATAGTCCCCTATTTTATGGAGACTTTGTTCATTCCTTTTTACCCTTTTTTCTCTAATCTTGACTTCTTGTTTTATTTCACTGAGTTGATCTTCGACCTCTGATATCCTTTCTTCTGCTTGGTCAATTCAGCTCTTGAAACTTGTGCTTCACGAAGTTCTCATGTTGTGTTTTTCAGCTCCATCAATTCACTTACATTCCTCTCTAAGTTGTCTATTCTCGCTATCATTTCATGAAATCTTTTTTCAAGGTTCTTAGTTTCTTTGCATTGGGTTAGAACATGTTCTTTTAGGTCACAGTAGTTTCTTATTACCCACCTACTGAAGCCTGAGTCTGTCATTTCATCACACTCATTCTCCATCCAGCCCTGTTCCCTTGCTATTGAGGAGGTATGATCCCTTGTAGGAGGAGAGGCTTTCTGGTTTCGGGTGTTTTCATCCTTTTTTTGCTGGTTTCTTTCCATCTTTGTGGATTTACCCACCTGTTGTCTTTGTAGTTGTTGACTTTCAGATTGGGTCTCTGAGTGGATGTCCAGTTTGTTGATGATTAAGTTATTTCCTTCTGTTTCTTAGTTTTCCTTCTAACAGTCTGGCCCTTCTGCTGTAGGACTGCTGAGGTCCACTCCAGGCCCTGCTTGCCTGGGGATCACCTGCAGCAGCTGCAGAACAGTAAGGGTTACTGCCAGTTTCTTCTTCAGCTGTCTTTGTCCCAGAAGGATACCCACCAAATGTCAGTCTGAGCTCTCCATTATGAAGTGACTCTTTGGATATATGGGGGTCAGGGAGGTGCTTGAGGAGAGACTCTGTCCTTTATAAAAGCTCAAGTGCTAAGCTGTGAGCTCCATTGTTCATTTAGAGCTGCTGGTCAGGTATATTTAAGTCTCATGCAGCAGAACTCACAACGCCCCCCCCCCCACCTTTTTTTCCCAGGTGCTCTGTCTCGGGGAGTTAGGGCTTTATTTATGAGCATGTGTTGTGCTCCTGGCTTTTTTCAGGGCTACCCTGCTCAAGGAGGCAGCCTAGTCACTGTCTGCCTGCAGAGGCTTTGCTTAACTGCTGTGGGCTCCGCTCAGCTGCTGTGTGAACTTCCCTGCAGTCCTGTTTATACAGGTGCAGTTAGAACTGCCTCAGCAATGTTGGCCCACCTCTGTAATGGTGGACTCTCTCTGTAATGGCAGGTTGCCTCGGCAACAGCGGGCTGCCTCAGCAATGGTGGACTACCTCCATAGTGGTAGAGTGCCTCAGTAGTGGTGGATGCCCCTTCCCCACAGAGTTAGATCATCCCAGGTTCAGCTGTGCTTGCTGTGAAACTCTCAACCCAGAGAGTTTCCAATTGTTGTTTTATTGTGGGGGTGGGACCAGCTGAGCCTGATCACCTGGCTCCCTGCCTCAGAGCCTTTTTTTAGTTGAAAGGTCAACTCTCTCCCAGGTGTTCCAGTTGCCTGTTGAAAAGGCACCGGGATCTGTGTGATTTCCTGTGCGGTGACTCACTGCGCCAGCTGAAACAGTGGCACTGAGATTTGCGGTGTTTTTTTTGCCTGAGAATCTCCGGGCATGGCTCCCTGTTTCAGTCCCCTTTTTAATCAGGTGAATGGGTGACTCTGCCTTCCCAGAGCTCCAATCACCAGCTAAAATGGTGCCTGGACCTGTGTATTTTGTACGGAGAACCACCATCCCAAAGCGCCGGCAAAGTAGCCGCACTGGTGACCTGGGGGGCTCCTCCACCTGGGAATCTCCTGGTCTGTGGGCAATAAAAATCCATCTGGAAATGTGGCATCCACTCACCCTCTGTGCTTTCACTGGGAGCTGCAATCCTGAGCTGCTCCTAATCAGCCATCTTGGATCCTTCCACTCTTACTCTTTCATCTTTTGTTCAGTCATTCCTTTTTCTTTACTCATCTTCCTGCACCATCTCATTTTAATTGGAACAATGTTTATTTATGTGCTGTGTCCTTGGGCTAGCTTTTTCAGGGATTAAAATCAGTAGGAATTAAGAGACAGTTGTGGAAGTTGTCTTTGTTCTGCTGTTTATTTCTCTTTTTATTCCTCGATTATCCTACTGAGTTGATGATGTACCATAAATATGTTAGAAATTAAACTAATCAAGAGGTTGATTCAGTAAATTGTTTAGAGTCAAGTCATACCCAGAATTTATTAGTTGCTCTAGAGCTGGGATTTGCAAACTGTTTAAGCTTGTGAACCTTTTCAAAATGAAACCTCAGGCTTAATTTATAAAACAATCAGAGTAGAAGAACTGCTTTGTAGAAGCCAGGGAAAGACATGTGGAGTCTCACCTCACAGTCCTAGCTCTTCACTACTCACATGAGGGTTCCTAAAAGTCATTCCAAAAAACTCCTAAGGCTCAGAAGATACTGAATTATCTGTTTTAGCAGATGTCTTGTCTGTTGGAAGGCTGTATTCTATCACTCAGGGAGGTGAAGCACAAATGGATGTGTAGTCACTGAGTACAGTGACCAGTTGATTATTTTGGAAGATACAGTAAGTGTATCTTCCATAGTTAGTAGACTTCAGACTGACCATTCAGTAACATTTATTTGGGACATGCTATAAGAAGGCACCATGGTCATTTTTGACAAAGAGGGAGAAAGGTAGATCCACTGCTGTGTTCACTGAAAAACCTTTGGAATCACTACTAAATTTCACTGAGGCTGTAACAATTTATGGTAAATTGGAAGGCAATCAATGCTTCAGAATTAGGTTCTACAGGGTACAGACAATTGATTCAAAGGAAATGTTGTTGTTTGCTTTCTATCTAGGTCTTGCCCTTGTACTGAATGTGCAGCTGGGTAAGTCATGGATTCCATGTTTTATCATTGAATATGTATATGAGATAAACCATACTGGGGAAAGAGAACTGCTGCTTGCTTCACAGACAGATGGGTTTGATTTGAGTGTAATCGTTTTTGATTGGCTGTCACTGCCATGCTCTTCAGCATGACCATCTAAATTATAAACTTGCATTCATTGGGCTTCATAGGATTATGGACATCTTTTCTTAGAAGGCTGCTGGCTAGGCTTATCCAAAAATACCAAAATGAGTCTGTCAAAGTTAAAAATAACCCCAAGTAAGTGACTAGTTCTGAGTTAGAATCTTTGGGTGCATCTGTAAGAGTGTTCATACTAACTACCTCCATGCAGAGATCAGGCATCTGAGGCACAGGGAGGGAAACAGAGGCAGGGTCAAAACTCACAGCACAATTCAGTGGTTCCTAAACCAGGCCATTGTCCCTCCTGCTGATTACACATAGGCTCTGCCTACCAGCTGATATGCTACTTCACCAACTGGGCCCAGTACCGGACTGGCCTGGGGCACTTCAAGCCTGATGACATCGACCCCTGCCTCTGTACTCACCTGATCTATGCCTTTGCTGGGATGTGGAACAATGAGATCACCACCATCAAATGGAACGACGAGACCCTCTACCAAGCTTTCAATGGCCTGAAAAACAAGTAGGAGGAGGGAGATATTTAATTTGGTATCTCTTTTTTCAGTACTTCCCAAACATTAATGCTTCTTGAAATGTAGTTCAGATCCATGGGTCTGAGATAGGGACCAAGACTCTGTATTTCATTTTTCTTTTATAATTGACAAAATTGTATGGGTTTATTGTGGACAAATGTCGTGGGGTTTTTTGTTTTGTTTTGTTTTTGAGATGATTCTTGCTCTGTCACCTAGGCGGGAGTGCAGTGGCATGATCTCTGTTCCCTGCAACCTCTGCCTCCCAGGTTCAAGTGATGCTCCTGCCTCAGCCTCCTGAGTAGCTGGGATTACAGGCATCTGCCACTACACTCAGTTAATTTTTGTATTTTTAGTAAAGACGGTGTTTCACCACATTTGTCAGGCTGGTCTCGAACTCCTGATTTCATGATCCACCCGCCTCAGCCTCCCAAAGTGCTTGGATTACAGGCATGAGCCACCACACCTGGATGACAATGTCATGTTTTGATATATGTATACAGTGTGGAACAGCTCAATTTAACCATCAACATATGCATTACTACAAATACTTAATTTTTTGTGGTAAGAACACTTAAAATATACTGTTAGCAATTTTCAAAATACAATATATTGTTATTAACAATAGTTACCATATTGTACAATAGAACTCTGCAATTTACTGCTCATTTCTAACTGAAATTTTGTATCCTTTGACCACCATCCCCCCAACCCTCATCCCCACACCAACCCCAGCCTCTGCTAACCACCATTCTACTCTGTACTTTCATGAGTTCAACTTTTATTAGTTCCACTTACAAGTGAGATCATGTGGTGTTTTTCTGTGCCTGGTTTATTTCACTTAACATAATATCCTCCAGGTTTATCCATATTGCTGCAAATGGCAGGATTTCTGCCTCTTTTTTTTTTTTTTTTTTTTTTTTTTTTTTTTTTTTTTTGAGACGAAGTTTCGCTCTTGTTACCCAGGCTGGAGTGCAATGGCGTGATCTCGGCTCACCGCAACCTCCGCCTCCTGGGTTCAGGCAATTCTCCTGCCTCAGCCTCCCGAGCAGCTGGGATTACAGGCTTGAGCCACCGCGCCCGGCCGCTTCTGCCTCTTTTTTAAGGCTTAATAGTATCCATTGTATATATATACACTGCATTTTCTTTGTCCATTCATCCATTGACGGGCACTTACGTTGATTCCGCATCTTAGCTATTGTGAATAGTGCTGCAATGAACACAAAAACTCAAACAGCTCTTCAACACGCTGATTTCATTTCCTTTGGATATAAACCCAGTAGTGCAATGGCTGGATCATATGGTAGTTATGCTTTTAATTGTTTGAGGAACATCTATACTGTTTTCCATAATGGGTTACTAATGTTCATTCCCACCCACGGTGTGCAAGAGTTCCTTTTTTCCCACATCCTCTCCAACACTTACCTTTCATCTTTTCCATAACAGCCATTCTTACTGGATTGAGTGGCGCCTTGTTGGATTCTGATACGCATTTCTCTGATGATTAGTGCTGTTGAGCATTTTTCATACACTTGTTGACCATTGGTATGTCTTCTTTTGAGAAATATCTATTCAGGTCCTTTGCCCATTTTTTAGTTGGGTTATTTGCTTTCTTATTACTGAGTTATATACATTTCCTATATATTTTTGATACTAACCCCTTACTTGATATATGATTTCCAACTGTTTTCTCCCATTCCATAGGTAGTCTCTCCACCCTGTTTCCTTTGTCATGCAAAAACTTTTTAGCTTGATATAATCCCAGTCTATTCTTGCTTTTGTTTCTGTACTTTCCATGTCATATCCAAAAAATTCTTGCTGTAGCTCATGAAGCTTTTTCCTAGGTTTTCTTCCAGGATTTTTACAGTTTGGGGTCATACATTTAGGTCTTTAATCCATTCTGAGTTGATTTTGTTCAGTTTGGTTACGCTTAAGAGAAAGAAAGCTACAGGTGATTGCTACCATCAGTAATGGCATTATCGTGAATGCAGCTACTAGAATTTAAGTTACAATGGCTAAGAATAAATAAACCCCTTTACAGCAGTGTTTCTTGAAGTGTGGTCCATTGACTACTTGCATCAGAATCACGTGGAGTACTTGATTAAAGTGTCAATCCCTACTGCAATCCAACTGACTCGAAATCTCAGGGGAAGGGGTAATAAACCCAGATTTTTAATGTCCTTCCACAACCCTTAATGTCCTTCCACTGCACTTAATTATTATATACATTTATGTTTGGGAAGTTCTATTCCAGAGAATGTGTATGATTTCAATCCAATTAATTTATGTTAATGTTATAGAGGCTAAGAATGTAATTAAGCTCAAGCAACATTTACCATTGTATCTGATGGAATAGAATGTTATATTAGCTATTTATGCTTTTCAAGTTATGCATATCAAAGATATTGCCAATACACAATATTTTTTAAAGCCCAGTTTCAAAATTCAAATTTCCCTAGGAAACCCTGAGAGCATTTATGACAAGAACAATACAAATAACTTTTATAAAGGAAGTTTTTATTAGTGGAGGAAAAATGTTCTACGAAAGGCAAAACAAAAATGTGTGATCAGATCCAATACTAAAGCAATGTATTTTAAACAGAGGGACTCGTGAATTTTGGAATGTATCTGTTTCTATCATTTGCTTTACAGGAACAGCCAGCTGAAGACTCTCCTGGCCATTGGAGGCTGGAACTTCGGGACTGCCCCGCAAGTCGTCTGTGGAGAGCATATTGTTCCTTTGCTATTGAAAACAAGTTGGCCCCATGTGATCACTGTCCCTTTAGACTTCACAGTCTAAGACAGGGTATTGAGGATAAACATAAAACTGTATGTGAATTAAATAAATTGCTACACCAGAATCTCAATATTAAGTGGAACACAATTTATTTCATACATTTAATTTTGGGTGAACAGTTTAGGGCCCTATCCACAGAAGTTTACTGAGGTTCCCAAACAACCTCTTCTTAAAGTATTTCAAGAGTACAAACCCTGAGGAGAGTGTTACAGTGCTTCTGTCTGTTTACCTCCTGGTCGGGGGAAGAACGAAAAAATCACACAAATAAACAAGAGGACTTCTTGGAGGGTACGTGAACTTGGCGGACTGTTTGGGGAAGGAACACAGTGTGCTGGATTTGCCAGGTGTTCAAAGAAACAAGGGCAGCTTGGGAGATAACAAAATAAAGGGAATGGTAAGATACCATGGCTGGGAAGAGTAGTGATTACAAAGGGAAGAGAGGACAAGAACAAGAACATGCTTTAATCTGCGCTGTGAGTCCTGAGGAAGGGCTCTGAGGTAGAAACTGAGAGCTTAATTTTACTCCAAGGTGTTGGGGCCACAAAGGCCTCACCCTGCGTTCTTTGTGTCTCCCTCAGTTTCACTGCCGTGGTTTCCACTCCTGAGAACCGCCAGACTTTCATCACCTCAGTCAGCAAATTCCTGCGCCAGTATGAGTTTGACGGGCTGGACTTGGACTGGGAGTACCCTGGCTCTCCCGGGAGCCCTCCTCGGGACAAGCATCTCTTCACTGTCCTGGTGCAGGTACGGAAGGAAGTCACAGACTTCAGCCCAGAAAGATTCAAAGTCTTTCTTTCCAAGGAGAATTGGGTGGCTGTAGGGTAAAACTAAACTTGAATTTAAACTGATGGAATATAAGCATTGCAAAGATTCTTCTATGTCATGCATTCATTAAACAAACTTTTAATAGCAGCAACAAAACAACCTGTGAGCTGTGTGCCAGGCACTACTCTGCATGTTGATTTAAGAACTATAACTCGGGGCCAGGCATGGTAACTCACGCCTGTAATCCCAGCACTTTGGGAGGCTGAGGCAGGTGGATCAGTCAAGAGATCAAGACCATCCTGGTCAACATGGTGAAACCCCATCTCTACTAAAAATACAAAAAATTAGCTGGGCATGGTGGCGCATGCCTGTAATCCCAGCTACTCAGGAGGCTGAGGCAGGAGAATTGCCTGAACCCAGGAGGCAGAGGTTGCAGTGAGCCGAGATCGCGCCATTGCACTCCAGCCTGGGTAACAAGAGCGAAACTCCGTCTCAATTAAAAAAAAAAAGAACCATAACTCATTTCATCTTCACATTTACTCTATGACATACGTACTATAAGCATTATAATCTTTATTTTACAGATGAGGAAACTAAAGTACAGAGAGGGTTTAAGTAACTTGCCCAAGTCACACAACTAGTAGGCATCATAACTACCTCTGCAGTTTGGCTACAGAGTCCATTGCTTGTAACCATTACACTAGGCTGCCCATTGTTACTGAGCACATACTCTGTGGCAGATATCGTCAGGCTAAAGATAAGAATAAGACACTATCCTTGGCTTTGAAGAACTTCTGAGGTGGAAGACTGAAAAAAATGAACAATGACGGTGCATTGTGATAAATACCATGATAGAGGTCCGCAGGGTACAAAAGTAACAAAGAGTGTACCCAATTCTGCTCTGGGGCAGGATCAGAAAGCATTTCCTAGAGAAAGTCATGCTTGGGCTCAGCCTTGAAAGAAACTGGTGTCAACCAATTAAGTGAGGATGGGAATGGAACAACTGATAGATAGTGTGAGCAAGTGGGTGAGCAATGGCTGTGAAGTTGCATGGGTGACAAGAACCAGATATCGTGAGAATTTTTATATTACGTTCAGGAATTTGCACTTTACCTTTGAGGCAATGGGACTGTTCTGAATAATTTTAAATAGTAGAGACCTGGCTTTAATCATAGAGGATGAATTAGAAGGAGATGAGAAGTCACGGATACAATTAGGAGGTTATTCTAATAAACCAAGCAAGAAATGATCAGGGCCCCAGCAAAGGCACTAACACTGAGGGAAGAAGAGGATGCATATAAGAGATATCAAGAGGACAGAAGCAATAGGATGTGGAGATCAACTGGAAATGGGAAACAGAGAGGACCCCCGGTTTTCTGACTCTGAAGATGGGTTTGATTGTGATGCTATTAACTAAGATGGTAAATGCAGAAAAGTATAGATTTGAAATAAGAAGGACTGCTCTTGAACACAATAAGTGTGAGGTATCTGCAGAGCACCCTAAAGGAATGCCCAGTGGGCATCAGATAAATATCCATATGGAGTTCGGGACAAAAAAGCTTGACTTGATATACTTGGTTTTTAGACTTCCTGTCTCCCAAGACACATTGTTTGCTATACCATTCTACGTACCAGATCATCAGCCAGGCAATGAATAGTTTCAATGTTAAGTAACTAGGAGAAAAGTCAATTTACTTATTTGTTGAATAGCTCTAATGGTCAGAAAGGAATATCGCTTTTCTTGGCTTGAACATGCCTCCAGTCATAATTTACAACTTATGGTCATTGTTTCTAGTTCTGCCTACTGAAGCAACAGAGACTAAGGCTGTACCTTTTGCAATATGTGGGCTTCATGTTTTAAGACAGCTATCATGCCTTGCCTATAATTTCTCTTACTCCAGTTAAATAACTTAGTTCCCTCAATCAGTAACCACATGACAATTTTCAGAGCCACCCTTCTCTGGAACATACTCTGGCACCCCCTAATGTTTCAATTATAGGAACTAAACCCAATACTTCAAATGAGATTACAGTAACACAGACACATGTGGATTAAGCTCCAGCATTGAATGGGAACCTATCATCTAGCTGTTACCACCTTCCTTTTTGGCCAATTCACCATTTTATTTGATGGAATGTCAGTCCAGAAAGTACTTCATCTACTTTATGAAACAAATTTTTGTATTGCTAGATGTCATCTGACATCAGATCTGGGTGCTGGTCCTGACCTACCTACTAACTCACTGTGGGACTTTGGTGAAGTGTCCTAACTTTTATGCATATTAGATAGCTATAAAATTCAATAATATTATGTACCCTATCTACTTTATTAGGTAGTTGAGAGACTGAAGTACAATAAAATATGTGAAAGCAATTTAAGAAAGAGAAGTATTGGCCGGGCGCGGTGGCTCAAGCCTGTAATCCCAGCACTTTGGGAGGCCGAGGCGGGTGGATCACAAGATCAAGAGATCGAGACCATCCTGGTCAACATGGTGAAACCCCGTCTCTACTAAAAAATATACCAAAAATTAGCTGGGCATGGTGGCGCGTGCCTGTAATCCCAGATACTCAGGAGGCTGAGGCAGGAGAATTGCCTGAATCAGGAGGCAGAGGTTGCCGTGAGCCGAGATTGCGCCATTGCACTCCAGCCTGGGTAACAAGCGGGAAACTCCATCTCAAAAAAAAAAAAAGAAAAAAGAAAGAGAAGTATTATCCAAGGCTATGTTTATTATTATTTAAGGAGCTAAAATCAGCATCATAGATGTCCTATTAGGCCTTATTATTCTGTAGGAAATGCGTGAAGCTTTTGAGCAGGAAGCCAAGCAGATCAACAAGCCCAGGCTGATGGTCACTGCTGCTGGCATCTCCAACATCCAGTCTGGCTATGAGATCCCCCAGCTGTCACAGTGAGTGATGTGCCTTTTCCCCAAACTGCTGGGGGTGTCACTTGGGCAGACTAGACTTGTCCTTGGTCTGTCTTGCTATTCAGGGACCTTGTTTAGGAGGCTTTGGAAGTGGGGGAATGTGCCTTCACAGGTGTGGGAAATGATCATCAGAAATGATTTAAATCCTCTACCCCACCTCAGGTACCTGGACTACATCCATGTCATGACCTACGACCTCCATGGCTCCTGGGAAGGCTACGCTGGAGAGAACAGCCCCCTGTACCAATACCCGACGGACAACCTCAATGTGGTGAGTCCCTGTGCAGATGCAAGTGCTGACCAGAGATGATGATGTAAATCAGAGATTGGGACACAAAATGAACATAAATTCTGCAAGTGTCTCACTTAGACAGCTGTCCTCTTAAGTTGATTGTATTTCAATAATTACAACTTCACCAAAATGTTCAATTAACATCACACAGTTTTACAACTAAGCACTGGTTCCTCAGCTGGTCAGGCCCTGTAACTAACCCACTGACACTGCAGGATTATGTCATGAACTACTGGAAGGACAACGGGGCCCCAGCTAAGAAGCTCATTGTTGGATTCCCTACCTATGGACGCACCTTCACCCTGAGCAACCCTTCCAACACTGGAATTGGTGCCCCTACCTCTGGTGCTAGTCCTGCTGGGCCCTACACCAGGGAGTCTGGGTTCTTGGCTTACTATGAGGTACATAGATTGGACTGAAAAGGGCTCTGTGAATTCCATGCACTGTGCCTCAGGGCTAGAATCTGCTGAAATCTTGAATGTTCATTCTGTCTCCTACCTAACTGCTTTAAACACAGCTGCTTAAAGTGTTTAAATAACATTCATTTATGTAATCCAAATGAAGAGCATTTAATGATGCATAATATCCCTTCACACGACAGACTACATTTTTAATGGAATTTATATTATCACACAGGTAATAAAATAAATACACCTCTCATATTACTGTGGGTTCTCAAAATTAGTTGACAAGCATCTTAATCCTCTTTACTACAAATAAAAACCTGTAATTAGAAATTGAGCAAAACCCCAACTGTAGACATGAAAGAAAAAAATCAGAAACATGTTTTTCTTTAATGGGAGTAACATTTAAAAGATTCGAATCTCTTGACTTTTGAAAGATCTGTACCTTCCTGAAAAATGGAGCCACTCAGGAATGGGATGCCCCTCAGGAAGTGCCTTATGCCTATCAGGGCAATGAGTGGGTTGGCTATGACAATGTCAAGAGCTTAGAGATCAAGGTGAGATCAGCCCCTTAAACATGCTGTGGTCCCAGCCCTGAGTCCCAGGAAATCAAGTGATTACTGTTTTCCTCTTTCTTCAAACAGGCTCAATGGCTTAAGCAGAACAACTTTGGAGGTGCCATGGTCTGGGCCATTGATCTGGATGACTTCACTGGCAATTTCTGTGACCAGGGCAAGTTTCCCCTAATCTCCACCCCGAAGAAGGCCCTCAGCCTGCAGAATGCAAGTAAGTGACCGAAGGTGGGGTGATGCCCAGCTGTATAAATGCCCCTTGTTTAACTCAAAAAGCAACGCTGATGTCTTCCCACCCCCTACCCCCTGCCCAGGGATCCTCTTTCCACTTCACCTCACTGCTCTTGCCCAGGTGAGAGACAGGATATACCCTTGAGCTGCCTTGTCAGAAACATCATGCTCTTAGGAAAGCCAGGCCTAACTGGGTAGGTTTTCCAAGTCTGCTAAGTCTTAAGAATGTGGAAGACACTTAAGAGATTATACTAACTTCAACACGAGTATCTACTTCTCACGAATCCCTTATACAAAGCCTTAGCCCACCTGGGGAAATTTAAGAAGCCCTCACCCATGTTCTCATATGTCTAATCTGTGATTCAGGGGATGTAACAGTTCTCTAAATTTTTTTCCAGATTTTTCCTGGAATTTATGTGTTCACCACTTATGCCCAGATTCTAGAAAAGTGTTTTACATACACTGGGTGGTTAGTAAATATTTTTTGAATGATCTGGATATTATAAGGAGAGAGCAACCTTTTTTACAATTAAAAGCCAGGCTGGCTTGACACAATAGTTTCAGTTAACTCCTGAATCTGGAGTTACTTTCTCATCTTCTTAGTTGCAGGGATCCAGAGCCAATGGCACCCCACCTCCACGCTTTCACTCCCACAGTTCTCTTCTCCTCTAGGTGAAGCTTAGAGCCTCTCCCAGGCCCACAAGTCTGCTCTTATTGCTGTATGTTTCAGGTTGCACGGCTCCAGCTCAGCCCATTGAGCCAATAATGGCTGCTCCCAGCGACAGTGGGAGTGGCAGCGGGAACGGGAGCAGCAGCTCTGGAGGCAGCTCAGGAGGCAGTGGATTCTGTGCTGGCAAAGCCAACGGCCTCTACCCCATGGCAAATAACAGAAATGCCTTCTGGAACTGCCTGAATGGAGTCACATACCAGCAGAACTGCCAGGCCGGGCTTGTCTTTGACACCAGTAAGGAGGAAATGTCTGCATGTTTGGTGCATGGGTGGGATGAGGATATGAAGAGGATAAGTCTGTCACCAGGTGACTTTCCTCAGGAAGGAGCTGAAGTGCTTCCATGAGTTTGGGGGATATAGGCAGTGCTGTCTGGCTTGCTCAAGGAGTAGAAGGCTGAGACATTCTCTCCACTTCTACTGAAGACCTAGAGCTGATTGACTGGCCCGTCCCATGGCTTGGCTGATTGACATCAGGTTCAAGAACACCAATAAGATCATCACCCCCCCAGAATTTGCAGCTGGGAACAAGTAATTACCTGTCAGTGCCTAGTGTGGGTGGGTCTGTCATATGTAAGCTCAGGAGCTGTAGTGAGGGACTAGGGGGAAGGAAACGTTGTCCTTGATGCAGACCTGAGCTACAGAGAAAAGCCAGGATGTGAGATGAGAGAGAACATTTGCTGACAGATGGCCTTCTTCTTCTCCTTCTTTTTTTCCTGAGATGAAGTCTCGCTCTGTCACCAGGCTCAGTGCAGTGGCATGATCTCATCTAACTGCAACCTCCGCCTCCCAGATTCAAGTGATTCTCCTTCCTCAGCCTCCCAAGTATCTGGGATTACAGGCACACGCCACCATGCCTGGCTAATTTTTGTGTGTTTAGCAGACATTTGGTTTCACCATGTTGGTCAGGCTAGTGTCAAACTCCTGACCTCAAGTGATCTGCCCAGCTCGGCCTCCCAAAGTACAGGGATTGCAGGCACGAGCCACCATGCCGAGCCAGATAGATGGCTTTCTAACTTTTGATTATAGTTTCTTCCTGAGGCCCAGATGCATTTCTGTCTTTGGATTTTGTAAAATATCTCTATAATACGTAATAAATTCTTCTTTGCTGCTTAAGCTGACTCAAGTTTGTTTCCTTTTTTTTTTTTTTTTTTTGAGACAGAGTTTCACCCTTGTTGCCCAGGTTGGAGTGCAATGGCGTGATCTCGGCTCACTGCAACCTCCGCCTCCTGGGTTCAGGCAATTCTCCTGCCTCAGCCTCCTGGGTAGCTGAGATTACAGGCACACGCCACCATGCCCAGCTAATTTTTTATATTTCTAGTAGAGACGGGGTTTCACCATGTTGACCAGGATGGTCTCGATCTCTTGACCTCGTGATCCACCCGCCTCAGCTTCCCAAAGTGCTGGGATTACAAGGTTTGTTTCTTTTACTTGCAAATGAAAGAAACCTAACCAATGTAATGAGAATATAAGGGCTCATATTTTTTTTCTGGCATTCTTACTATGTGTCAAACTGTTCTAAGTGGTTTACAGGTGTTTTCTTAGTTTTCCCAGCGACTTCATGAGGTGGGTAACATTAACTCCAGGAAACTGAAGTAAAGACAAATTAGTTAAGCTGCCCCAAATCACACAGCTGGTTAGTTGCAGAGCCAGATACATAGCCCAGTGGGCTCACAGAGCTCACAGTCTTACCTGCTATGTTTTGCTTGCCTCCCTTGACATACACCACAGTGTTCTCATGGGAGATGACCACTGGTGGCCGTGATGAGGCACACACCACTCTCTGGGCAGCATCATTTATTCATGAACTCACAGAATTTATTGATTCTATGTGTCAGGTGATATTTCTGATACTGAAGATATAGTGGTAAGTAAGACACACTCTACTCTCACGGGGATTATATTTTGCTGGTGGAAGTGTTAGATGATACGTAAGCAAATCAACAAATGAGAACAGTAAAATCCTAATAGAAAGTGACCAAACAAGACTACTTTAGTTCGAGCAATCCCAGAAGGCTTCTCTGAGGAGGTCCTGTACTAGATGGCGTTGACAGTCAAAAAGAGTTAATCTGTTTTGGGATCTGGGAAAAGCGTGTTTTGGGCAGAGGGACAATGTGCAAAGTCCTTGAGGTGGAAACAAACATGAAGTGTTAGATACAAGAAGCCCAGTATAGCTGTGAGATGGTGGGCACAGGGAAGAAATAGGCAGGGGTCAGATCATGCAAGGGCTTGAAACATGGTTAGAAGTTTGTGTTTTGTTGTAAACGGGCTGTGACGTCATCGGAAAGTGATAGCAGGGATGGGGGTTGGTGACAGGATCTAAATTCAGCATTGATGAGATGAGGCTGGAATAGGATTAAAGAATATAGGAAAATGGCACTCATGGTGATTGCAGCCAATGGATTGACTGAGCACTTGTGTGACATGCCTTGAAGATTGAAGGCATCGCAGTGGGGGACTTGTGTCTTCAATGAGCAGATGACGGCAAGAGGCAGCAAAGTGGGTATTACTAGTAATGTCATGACATTTCCAGTCAAAGAATGCTGAAATCTGGAGTAAAATAGAGCATAGACATTTTGGGGGTGGACTTTCGAAAGGAGTTTCCTAGTTAAGTCACTACTAAGGTAAATAGCACTGAGGGGGACATGGGGATGTGGCGCTCTGGAGTTAATGAAACAATGACAGGAACAGCTTTGAAGAAGAATGTCTTTGAACAACATAGTGTCCAGTAAATAAATCAAAGTGTTTTTCGAAACGAACACCTTTTTCAATGCCACTATATTCCCACAAAGATTAAGTCTGCCACCATTTCTAGAACAGAAATTACTGCAGTCAAAAAAGTAGTGTCCCCTCCATTTTTCTTCCTTTTTTTACATATTAATCATTCAAGTGCATGTATACTGTGCACCTACTATGTGCAAAAAGAGAGTGAGCCTGAGCTAGCTCCCCTGAACACTCTGACCTCTACTGCAGTTCTCACTCCATCCCAACTATGTCAGCTTCCTGCTGTTTCTCAAGTACTCCTGGCATGTTATTACCTCAGGGTCTTCACACAAGCTAGAACACCCTTTCCATAGATTTCCTTTTGACTCTTTCCCTCACTTTCTTCAGGCTTTTCCTGGAAGTCACCTTCTCAGTGAGGTCTTTCCTGGCCACTCAACCTAATTTTAAAACACCCTTTCTCTGCCTCTTCCAGCTGTACTTCTTTTTCCCTCTCTTGACACTTCTCACTACTTGACCTACATTCATTCAATGTATTTATCTTTTCTATCATCTCCCTCCCTCACTAGAATTAACGTCCATGAGGAAAGGCATTTCTCTGTTCACTGCTACATTCTCACTGCCTAGAACAATGCCTGGCATATTATAAGAGTTTAATAAATACTTGGTGAATGAATGAATGAATGAGGTTAAGGAAGTGAGATAGGAAATAACAAGCTGAATATTCCAAGCATTGGGCAATGTACTTTATACAGGTTATCTCCTACTTAGTGAATATTGTCCCCAGGTTTCAGGGCGAGGAAATCAAGATCTTGTGAGGATAAACTACTCGCCCAGGATTACAGAGCTGGTAATTAGTGGACCTCATTCTCAAAGGTAGGCCTTTCTGTCTCCCTTTAAGCCACAATGCTGCCTTGCACAAATCAATGTCACAATGACCTAAAGAGGGACTTCCAGAGTGGGGCTGTTGCTTAGCAGCCAGTCTTAGTCACGCCCTTCATTTTCTTGGTTAAGTCCACATATGAGAGTGCCAACTCATGGAAATAACGCATGAGAGATCCACATTTACTGAAAGGCCCCCTGAGGAACTGTTCTTTCCCAGAACTACTGGGAAATCCAGAAGGTCCACGCTATCTTCTCTACCTGGGAACTTGAGAGGCAACAAAACCGTATCAGGGATCAGGCACCCATACATCTGGGACTTTGATAATGGTAATCATGTCCTTTGACTCTAGTAGATGTGTGAAACTCATCCTTTCAGTGTTGGAGTCTAACTGGAAAGAAGTAGAATATACACAGGATTCCACAAGGTCTCTGACTCTGTATGGAGGCAGAAAGAGCGTTCCACTCTCCAAATCATGTGCTTTAGCAAGGGCCACCTCCCGTCTTAATAAACGTGCACTGTTTCTTTACTTTCACAAAGATACCCTTGGAGCTGGCTGCAGCCCTGGGCATGGAGGTGGTAAAGTGGAGGTGTATTAATACTTGTTAAATCCCAAATATAGGTTAGTTCCTCAATGTATGAGATTTGTCCTTGTGTTAGCTCCTAAATTATTATGGCATCCTTAGGAGGAAATAAATGAGTCATGCCATTTAATAGATAAACCAAGGCTTAGGAACTTTAAGTAACTTCCACAAGATCGCATAGCTAGTCAGTGACAGACTAATACTTATTGAAAGCCAGTTCTGATAAATTTCAAAGCCTTTGTTCATTCCTCTACCATCAGATGGGAGACATAGGTTTTAAGAAAGTTTAAAAGAATATAGAAAGTATATTTTCTTCCCATCTTCCTCTCTTTTCCAGAATAGGGATCTCTATTCTCTTAAACAGGGATTCTCGAGCCTGCTTTGAGTAATAGAATATTTTATAACACCCTATTTATTATGCTAAAATTAGAATTAATTCACAGATAACATAATCTACCACATGTAATTTCACAAACAACTCACTATAATGCCCTAACTATAAAGTAAAGAAGAAAAAATAATTTTTAACAAAATAATTTGGATTTCAGTATATAAATGTTCAGATGTAACTACTTTAGAAACAGTGAAGTAATCAGGTTCTTGCACAATAAGTTGTGTAATGAATTAATCTGAAATTAAGAGAAAATCAAAAGTCCTTTCATATAAGCAGTTTAGGAAAATAAAACAATAGAGTTATAAGTAGACACTAGAACAAAATCCAGCTTTGGGAGAATTAATAACAATTTGAATTTACTGATTTCTGACAGCAGAAAAAGGTAAATAGCTTTAGTTGAAATAGGAATAATACCCAGACAAATTACAAGCCGTTGAAGTGAAATAAGGAAGAGAGTGTGAATATGCTATATTTTACTGATATATTATATTGTACCTGTTTATTGAATACATGTGATATTGTTACTTGCATAAAACGTATAATGACCAAGTCAGGGTATTTGAGGTGTCCAGTACTTTGAGTATTTGTCATTTCTACATATTAGGAACAATTCAAGTCCTCTCTTCCAGTTACTTTGAAATATACAATTTGCTATCATTAACCATAGTCACTCTACTCTGCTGTCGAATGATAGAACTTACACCTTTTATCTAAGCGTATGTTTGTTTCTGTTAACCTACTTCTCTTCACCCCCCACACCCATTCA